CACACACACACACACACACACACACACACACACACACACACACACACGTACAATTGTGTGCTTAAGCACATTCACTGATACTCTTTCTCCTAAAGTCGGGAAAATCGACGAGAGAAACACGATGAAAAGAAAGCAAAAAGGAAGCCACAATCAAATAACAACATTGAAATTTAAACTACACACATGTATATATTATTGATGTTAATGCGCATCATCATTTTAATTAGGCGGACGATTACATCTGGATTCTGTACATCTGCTGTACTAGAAACCAATGAGCGGACGAGAGCTCCAGTAAGAAAGAGAAAGACTCTCTCTCTCTCTCTCTTTCATCGTGTATCATCGCCAGCGGATTCGACAAATGAAAAAAAAAATAAAATCTAAAATTAGCTATATCAAAATTGTTAATGGCGGTTTTGCTGCTCTCATTGAAACTGTATTCATGTTAATTCGTGAAACATTTGCGGTCCCGAACGGAGAAGGAAAATGGGGAATGAAATGGAAAAAACAGCAGAATAAAATGTGAATGACCTCATGCAATAAATAAATGCCGATAAACAGTGAAATTTTAAACAACAACGAGCATTCTCATTCTCTCTCTCCCTCTTTCACTCGGGAATTCTTTGGCTTCATAGTTGAAATCACACCATAATTAATTACATGTATAATGGTGATTGTTGTTAAGCGTTTTTCGAATTTAGAATCACGGTCTGCGTCTTCATTGGAAATTAATGGTGTGGATACAAAGTCAAGAAATGTGTAAACTTCGGTCCATTTCATTCAACGTTTCATTCTCTTCGTTTGCCAGATGATTTTTCCCTTTTTTTATCGCTCGATCCGGTCCGGCTCGTTCAAACAACAAAAACAGCAAGAGATCGAGAGAACGAGAGAGAGAGAGAGAGAGAGAGAGAGCAGCAACTGCACGTTGTATTTAAATAAGTAACCTTTTCCATGAAAATTTAATTGTCCCTATTATGAAGCTCGGAATAAATTATAAAACCGTTTCTAAGTTCGACGATTGGCCGCCGCCGTCGACAACAACAGCGATACCATTGCCATCGTATTCACTGTTGCTCCGGCTAAGAAATGGAAATGCTACACACAGAATCTTTGTCATGCATACTGGAGTCGCTGCTGCTGCTGATTTTTTTCCTTTCTTTCCATTCGTTTTAATTTGAGCAGCATTGACGATATTCTGGTTGCTCAGTGAGAGGAATGATAGAGCGAGAGCGACCGAGAACGTGTGTGTATGGTGAGTTGGCAGGCAAAAAGCCAATTGTTGGAAATTATGCATAAAGGAAATGTAGACGGCTTCATTTGAACAGATTTAGCTTGTACAGTGAATTCCAATGCGAAAACAGAAAATCATATTTCACACAGAACTCTCTCTCTATATCTCTCCCTTTCTCGTTCTCGTTCTCACGAATCCGTGCAAATTCAATGCCCTTATCGTTTACATTGATATTTCTGTGTTGTTGTTGTCGTCGATGTTTTTTTTTGCTTTCGTTCGTCCGCATTTCACGCAAAAACGTTCTTCGACATTCATCTGCTGTGTATTAGCCAAATAACGCACACATGTTTGTCTGTGTGTGGCACAGTTGATGCTTTAGCTCATGTGATATGTTTGGCTTTAGCATGCTGTACATGTACACTTGTGTGCCCGACTCAAGCCAAACCGAAGAAGAGGAAAAAAAAACGGAGCCGACAACCAATTCCAAACTAAAATATTGAGATAATTTCTTTCCTTCCACAATTCTTCCGCGTTTGTGTGACTTTTTTCTTCTTCTGCTTCGTCTTATTCTTTCCTTTTTCGTTAGTATCATTCGATGAAATAACGTTATTTAGTGCCTTTGATTTGCCTTTAGTTCTATATAAATACACGCTATATTTGGATGATACCCCCATTTTGGTGCTGCCGCTCAAAGCAGCCAAAGTTTGACATAAAACTCATGGCGTCATCGGATAATAAACGCGATAGCAATATCAAACAAACAAATTTCTTTTTATCATGGGCTCTGTTTTCGCGCATAGCACGACCAATTACAGCCGACAGACAGACATACACGCACACAAACTCACACACACACACACACACACACACACACACACACACACACACACAC